TGAATGAATTATATTTATTTTTTCCATAGCAACTGTTAAAATTGCCTTATATCTATCAAAAATAGTAGATAAAATAGTACTTTAACCGCAAGGGTAGATTAAATGATACTTTAACAGCGAGGATAGGTTAAAAACTTTATTTCTTCTCGCACATTTTTAATTGCTTCCTTTTTTGAAAATGTTTGTATTCCTGTTCATAAGTTATTCGGGATTTAAATGGAAGTAGTTTAGATACTTATGGCGTTTGTCGCCTCAGCCTGAATATCTGTTGGTAATTTACTTATTTCGTTTTGAGCCATTTCTCGCTCCAATTCAATCAGCAATCGACACGAAAGAGGATTAAAAATATTGACTCAAAACTGACAACTAAAGAGACAGCTTTGTTTATTTGTCAAATTACATAGAAACCAACGCCAACCCAGCACAATATTTTTTCTACTCGTAATAAATTCCTTTGAAATAATTTCTGAATATTGTTTAAAACTCGCTATGGAAAAAAAATCATCACGACGTGAATTAATATTTTCCGGTAGGGGATAAAATATCATTTTATCGTCTTGTATAAAAATAACTATTATATCGCTATAAATATAATTAATCATTTGTTTCAGAAGATTAGATTTTTAAATATTAAAAGATATAAAAGATGGAAAATGTCATCAAAAATGCTTATAGGAATCAATTTAACACCTAACACTTTTCTTATATATTTTTTATGTAATTATTGTTGGTAAAATAAACAAGTAAATTCGAGTGTGGTCCCTTGGTATAATCAAAAATTAATAAAAAATGAATAAAAAAGAATATGTTCAGAACTAAAAGATCATACTACGAGTACAATTTGATGTCAAAAATATGTTTAATTGTCACTTGCTCATTCCGCAAAATATCTAAAAAAATACAAAATTCTTTTCTGAAAACTTCTTTCCCATGTCTGTATACCTACAGGTGTCCCAGCCTGAGGGTTTATTGGACGTTTTTAGAGAACTACAATATCTAGATCGGAGATTTTTTGCACATCATTGATTTTAGCACATCTATCGATTAAAATTATTTTATTATGGCACTTACCGGAAATACCGGAAGTTGACAGCAACTTTCCTATTTTAAATGGACACCCCATTTTTATTACATATTTAAATTCTCTATAAAGTTTTATGAATTAACCGTTTTTGAGAGAAAATAAATATTTAAAATTTTTGGAGTTGCCTGTCCAAAAAATTGTATAGTCTAAACGTCAAAAAGTGATTACCACAGCCACTGTGACATAAAGAGAAGACATATCTACTTCAAAAATTAAATTGATCAAATGTCATATAATAATGGCGGTAGCTGTCATGGAATTGAGAGATTAAAAAATTATCATGAATCATTTTTTTCAAATGGAAACATACTTTTTATTTCACTAGTGAAAAGGTTTTTAATTCGTTACTTTTTGATTATACATGTTCCATACCTAAAAATAAACTGTTTTAAAGTTATTTAAAATTTAGTTTTAAATCGTATAATTATTCTTCTGGTTTTTAATCAGTAGTCTTAAACATCAAGCGGTAGAAAACAATAACATATGATGGAAAAAAACGGCGTCAGCGATGGCTATGAAATGAAGATCGGTGTCATTTTATATGTAAAAAATAAAATTATATAAGAGTTTCTTGCCTTGAACTGCTAATATAGAAATTAATTCCACGCTGTGTTCGACATAATGTGGATCAACCTGCTCTCACTACCGGTTTCAGGGCCCTGCCCCATCATCATGTGAGCTTGGGTCGTTTCCACAAAATGTCGAGCACAGCGCAGATTCTATAAATACGACTTGTCGTAAAATAGCGGCCTGCGTGCAATGGTAGTACTTTCCGAGGTACAACTATCGATAGTAAATAAAGGCTTTTTCGGCTAGCCCAAATTTTATAATGGAAAATAAATTTCTTGCAGTTTTTAGGTATATAATAAAATTATATAAGAGTTCTTGCCTTGAACTGTTAATATACAGGGTTGTTCACCACATACGACACGGAGTATTGTAGCTAAACGATTAGATTTTTACAAATTGTAAGTTTTGGGTTCGTTGAAGGACTATTAGAGCTACAATTTAAAAATATTTTTACAAGATACAGAGTGTCCCAAATAAATAAAAAATAGCAAAGTTGTATTTTTTTAAATGGAACACCCTGTATGTTATTACATTTTTGGCTTCTACGATTAAAATAAAGGTAAATTTGATTAAGGTTTATTACACTTAAACCTTACCGTTTTTGAAATATTTTTAATTTTGTGAAATTGCAGTATAAATTTTAAGGCTTCATTTCTCCGAGGATATCAAAGTCTTTAATACTAAATATTTACTGAAGTTTATTTATTGATCAGTTATTGTGGTGCAATAATAAAAATTATACTACCTTATACAGAGTGTCTAAAAATTTATTTAAAATAATTACTAGCTTTAAACGGCAATAACTTGTTTAATTTAAATGGAACACCCTGTATATTTTATGAGAATCAGATGCACAATTTAATTGTTTATCAAATTGTATAATACCACTTTTTACCTATCCCTTCAAGTTTTCGTAGAAAATGCATTTTCTTATAATTCAGACCTCATTTATCAATATACCCATGGAATATTGACATTTTAGATTTTAAAACAACAAATGTACAAAATGTACAGGCCAGTAATATCATCGTTTTTAGTAGTCGATAATATTATTAGCTCATATGTATGCAAAAAGAAAAATACTTAAATCTTTATAAAAAAGTAGAGTATACCATTAATTAAATATACCACCAGTATTTCCGCTCAAATACTAATTAATTACATACTTAATTGTGTTCGTTAATAAATTATTCTAAATAAATGTGGATTTGAATCAGAAATCAATATAATAAAAAGTTATGAAAATGAACGTCTCTGTTGTTATAAATAAGCATTTGTCAAAAAATGAAACATCATTTTTAAGGTGTTAGTTTTTTTACCACACTGTCTAATATACATACATAATTCAGATTTTTAGTATTTGGATCAATTATTATTCATCAACGCAAACAGTCAATTAATGTAGTTTGAATACTCGAATCATATTAATTGGTCCTCTTTAACAAATATTTAAACAATTTATTTTTATTTTTTAATGAAATAAACGAACTATATCGACAATATTAGTATCTGTACTCTTAAAAAATTTGGTACATCTTTAAAAATATTCTAAAATGTCAGTATTCCATGGGTATATTGATAAATGAGTTCTAAATTACAAGAAAATGCATTTTCTACGGAAACTTGAAGAGATAGGTAAAAAATGGTGTAATACAATTTGATAGACAATTAAATTGTGCATCTGATTCTCACAAAATATACAGGGTGTTCTATTTAAATTAAACAAGTTATTGCCGTTTAAAGGTAATAATTATTTAAAATAAATATTTAGACACTTTGTATAAGGTAGTAAAATTTTTATTATTGCAACACAATAACTGATCAATAAATAAACTTTAGTAAATGTTTAGTATTAAAAACTTTGATAGGAGAAATGAAGCCTTAAGATTCTCGGAGAAATGAAGCCTTAAAATTTATACTGCAATTTCACAAAATTGAAAATATTTCAAAAACGGTAAGGTTTAAGTGTAATAAACCTTAATCAAATTTACCTTTATTTTAATCGTAGAAACCAAAAATGTAATAACATACAAGGTGTTCCATTTAAAAAAATACAACTTTGATATTTTTTATATATTTGGGACACTCTGTATCTTGTAAAAGTATTTTTAAATTGTAGCTCTAATAGTGCTTCAACGAACCCAAAACTTACAATTTGTAAAAATTTAATCGTTTAGCGACAATACTCCGTGTCGTATGTGGTGAACAACCCTGTAGAAATTAATTCCACGCTGTGTACGACATAATGTGGACCAACCTGCTCTCACTACCGGTTTCGGGACCCTACCCATCAGGTGAGCTTGGGTCGTTTCCACAATATATTTATATGGGAAACGTCATCGACCGTCATTTCCAAGCCAACTGAATGCCGTTTTTTTTTCGATCATACGGTATATCTGGCCAATTCATATTGCGACACTTTGTTAAAAAATCAGTATGTCATCGATCGTCATTTCCAAATTTTTAGCGGTATATTCCCATTATTTTGCGGTATAACTATAATTTTCGTAAACCTCATAAGAATAATTTACCTAGTCTGGTTCTCATTAAAAGGGTAAGTACAAGCAAAATATTTAAAAGAATGTTTTTTTTATTGAAATGACTTCGTATTATGGTAATGTTAAGAGTTATTTATTTAAGTAGAGTTAAAAATACATATAAAATTGCGGTATGCGTAAAAATAATTAATGTGATTTGTTTCTCGAATTGTTAATATTAGACACTGATACGATTAGAATTAACATTAGTAATTTTTTATGTATACATTTAAAAGTACAGTGAATACAAATAATATGTTGATAACGTAGGAGGTGGCAACTCTGCAAGGTTTAGATACACCGTAGAGAAATCTCAGGTGAATAAACAAGTGGCACCAAAAAGTTTTTTAAAATTTCTCGGAAAATGTCAAGAAAAATATAAAATTTTCAAAAATTTTTTCGCAAAAAAAACCTCATAGGCGTGTTTCTGGGGCCGACATATACTACCAGTCAAAATATCTGCACTTATTTCTGGGACACCTTGTATATTTTTTTCGTTAAATATCGTAATTACGAAAGACGCCTTACTTTCAGTCACAAATAGACAACATTTTCTTCAATTCAATGATCGCCTAAAACTTAAAAACAGATGATACAAAGATGTAACCTCTTGAAAAGTTCCGCTGTTTCTAGGCAATACGTGAAATCATTAGGCATTTCAGGGAATAACGATTTTCACTCTTTGACGGCGTCAAATCCAAATATAGCAGTGAGATCAAGAGAAAATTGATGTTAAATCTAAGGTATATTTTCTCTGCTTCCCTAATTATAGCGATGTCTGAATTACCATGCAAAAAAAAGGTACTTACTCTATGATAATATTTTTCAGGTCTCCTATAGTCGGATTATCAGAATTGGTACCACCAGCAACTTTACTGATGACACCGTGACTTCGACCTACTTCCAACTTGTATTTTTCCCTCTCCAAACTGTCCAGAGCCACGTAGTCCATCAAATCGCTGAAATCGTCTACTTGTTCGTCTTTGTCATCAATATTAGGGATTTTGTGCGAGTCGTCTTTGTGGGATCGTTTGGTGTTCACTACTGTGTCGTTTGGAAGACTTTCTTTGGACATGTTGCCGCTGATGCCACTGAAACAAGAATGGTACGTGTTAATGGGATTTATCATACGGTATTTGCAATTTTAGCTGATAGTAAAGAAGATAAAAACTTCAAAAAGTCAGCAACAACCACAACTGGATATCTTTTTCCAAACCGAAGATATTAGCAAAAATATAATAAATACGAAAAAGTAACCTTATTTTTATGTCACTTTATCAGTAGTCTTTTTGATAATGACAATAAATAATAACAATAATATACCAGAATACCATAATACCAGATGTATGAATAATAATTAAGATGCCAATGACATTGAACAAGAAACGACGACACAATGAATCGGATTAATTCGTAGTTCTGGCAACACTGTCTCCGGCAACCACCCACTATGTCTACTGAAAGCAGAATTACGGTGCAGATTTCTTTATCCGCTGCGCTGTAAACGACTATCAGCGCGCAGCGGCGCGGAGCTAAACTAAATCTCGGACAGGTTGACTAGCGGCGACGGTATCGCCAGCTACATCTCGGATAGGTTTTGTGCCACGAAATCGCTCATAATGTTGCATATATACTTATTTCTTCAATCAACTGTTTAAGTAAAATAGTCAGTTTTTAGTCTACACGTAATATTTTACTTGATACGTTTTGAATGAACATGTAAGACTGACAGGTAAAAAGTAATGTATAGACGGAGCTATAGAAATATTATTAATCTTCGAATGAATCGATCTTATGCCAATAAATACGAGATGAAAAAGTATTTTGGAACATTTAATAATGCACGCGGGACTTCCCTATACCGTCGAGAAAATCCTCTTAAATAAGCCATAAGCCCCGTAAATATTTGACGAAACAATCTTTCCTCCCGGTTTCTCAAATTAATTCGTCCTTTTATCGGGGCGTCAGTTAAATAATGGCAAGCGGGTAGACTGGAGAAACCAACCAGTGGCGGAGGCGTCTCGTATTTTTACGTGCTTTACTCGGAGGATTAAGGTTGATTCTCACTATACCTTCCGTATCAGCTACGTTCCGTTTCCCCTCCGTTTACATAAATCCAGAAACATTTCTTCGAGAGACCGTTGGAGAATTCCCATTCCAGGTTATGGATGGAGACTTGCAGGTTCTTGAGTTCTGCTTTAAGTTATTTTTCACTTGGGAAACAAAATGGTTCTGTTAGAGGTGTGTGGTTCGTAAACGAACTAGTTCCAATGAATTATTACGACTACGGAACGAAAGGAACTAGTTCCTGGTTTCTCAAATATCTAGTTCCTCAGGACCTCTTCCGGGAACTGATATACAGGGTGTCCCAGAAATGAGTGCAGATATTTTAAGGGGTGGTAGATCTGGTCAAAATAAACATATTTTCTCTTTACCATTTTTAAAATAAATTGAAAATAACCGAGTTATTTAACTTTGAAAATTTAAAAAAATAATCGCAACATTTTGAGAACCGCCGGCAGATATCGCCAACTACATCCAATTACCCGGATCAAACCCGGATTTCAGTTAATTCGACGCACTGTGCATAGGGACAAGAAAGTATATGTTAAAAGTAAGTCATAAAATCACAACACCTGAGGAGTTTGCAGAGATGCATTACATTTTTAAGATTGTGATATTATTACATAAAATAAATTAAAAGTTAAATGTTTAATGTGTTAAAAAATGTGTTAAAAAAGTTAAATTAAAAAACTTACCCAACATTAAAAAAGATACTTATGACAGATCGATGTAACTGTGAGAGTTCTCTTTTTCGATATACACTTAACTAAAATACACTTCACTGTGCTGCTTTACTTGTACATGCTGTAGTTATTATAATAACTACTAAAATAACAGTCCCCATTTTTAACACATTATTTTCATATATGCCTCATCACAGTTTGAATCACTGATTTACAAAACACCTTGAAATGCACACATTACTTTGAATACCTTTCTGAATGAATAAATGTTGAGAATTATTGTCTCTTACCGCCACTTTCCGAACTACTTTCAATCTAAGAAAATACATGTTTCACTCAACAATTTTAAATACGTATTTTGTTTTTTCGCTATTTCATCTATGTATTTCAACAATTCCATCGACAGCCCAATCGTCGCGTCGGCCGCCGGCCAAGAGAGCGGCGCATGGACGCATCACTGGTAACTGCTCCTTTGTCGCGCCGCCGTATCGAGCTTGCGTCATGCGAGGTTGCCGTAGTTTCAACAATTTCAAATTCAAGACACTCGAAGCAATCAAATTCGTATTAAATTTTAAAAATAAAACAGAAAAACATGAAAGGAAACAAACAAAACACAAATGAATTGGTTATTGATAAGGTCACAAAAAAGGAATTTTTAAAATGTTTATCGTAATTCAGAATTCAATACATCGAAAACAGCCCGACGAATAATAAATTCATTTTTGTTTTCTTTATTTCCTTTCATGTTTCTCTGTTTTATTTTTAAAATTTAATACGAATTTGATTGCTTCGAATGTCTTGAATTTGAAATTGTTGTAACTACGGCAACGTTGCTTAACATGGTCGTCTGACGCAAGCCCGCCACGACGGCGCGGCGACCGGCGACTCAAAGGACCAGTTCACACGCGGTGGTTCTTGGCTGACGGTTAGGCCAGAGAAGAACGACCGGTTAGGTTGTCGATGGAATTGTCGAAATACATCGAAAAAATAGCGGAAAAACAAAATACGTTGTCAATAATTGTTGAGTGAAACATGTATTTTCTTAGATTGAAAGTAGTTCGTGAAGTGGCGATAAGAGACAATAATTCTCAACATTTATTCATTCAGAAAGGTATTCAAAGTAATGTACGCTTTTCAAGGTGTTTTGTAAAACAGTGGTTCAAATAAAACAGAGAAACATGAAAGAAAACAAACAAAACAAAAATGAACTGATTATTCGTTGGGCTGTTTTCTAAATTTCTTGAATTGAATTCTAAATTACGATAAACATTTTAGGAATTTCTTTTTGTGACCTGATTGTGAATAATATGAATCATTTTATTAAATTTATTCCAAAATAAAGTTATTTTGCAGCATAACAAAGATTTTCTGCAACGTCATAAACGTAATGTTTTAGTTAATTTTCGGTGGTTTTTGTTAAGTTTTCATTGAAAGGTAAGTACTAAAAATAATTAATGTGTTTTTTTTCTATAATTATTAATAATGAGCACTGATAAAAGATTAAATTTAACATTCCTAATTTTTTGAGTAGAAATTTGTCTATGAATTTATAAATGTAGAACTATGTTCCGCCGAACTATGTAGAATGTGGATAACATAGGAGGTTGCAACACTGCACGGTTTAGATACACCGTAGGGAAATCTCATGTGAATAAACAAGTGGCACTAAAAAGTTTTTTCAAATTTCGCGTCAAGAAAAATTTTAAATTTTCAACATTTTTTTTTCGCGAAAAAAACCTCATAGGCGTGTTTCTGGGGTTGAACTATACTACCAGTTAAAATATTTGCACTTATTTCTGGGACACCCTGTATAATAGCGACGGCGACGGATCGGCCAGCGCGATCGTAGACCGATGCTAGGCGGGAATGGGGAGTGCTGGCCGTATGTTATCGATCCCGGACCGAGAGGAACTAGAGGGACTAAATAAAAGACTACGTACGGATCGGCCAGCGCGATCGTAGCCCGATTCTAGGCGGGAGTGGGAAATGCCAGCCGTATGTTACCGGTCCCGAACCGAAAGTACTGAGAAGAACTAGAGGAACTACTTAAAAGACTAGTTCACGGAAATCTATTCAATCTCCAGATTCGAGATATAAAATATCTCGGATGGATCCATAATTACTATAGAAAATTGTCGCGGATATTGTTTTTAATTTCTAGTTTGTTCTCTGAATATTTTATGAGAATGTTTCACTTTAGGTCTCTAAAATTAAGAAATATCTTATAAAAGGAAGTAGGTATTCTAACTTTTTAGACAAAAACAAAAAGCTTGAAGAGAGAAAACTTTACCTTCACATTTATCATTTAGCTTCACCTACATATGAGCTAATATTAAGTAGTTTATTATTTGCTCCAATTGATTTGCGATATAGCTTTGTAAACTTTGACTTGAGTTTCTTTTTTCATTTTTTGTTTTTATCTGCTATAAAACTTACCTATTATGTTTTTAAAATACGCAATTACACGACTCGTTATATTTCGTACCTGTATAATTTTTATAATACAGGTCATACTGTGAATAGTTCTGACATATAACGAAACCCATGAGCAAGCAACGGAGATGTCGATCGTTAATCGGGAACTAATGTGAACTAAAGACCTAGTTCAAGGAACTATTTCTCGGCAGGAACTAGAACTAAGGAATTAGTTCCTCCCAAGAAACTAGAATTCTCACCTCTAGGTTTTTCTACAGTTAGTAGGGTGTTCGCTCCCTTTCTAGCTACATTGTTTGCTTGAAAAGCTAGCAACGGAAAAGAGAAAAGATGCACCATGACAAAGTGAGTTTTAAAATTCTTTCTTTATTAACCATTCCACACTATGGAAAAATGAGCCCACCACAAAAGTATAGTGTTTTTTTTTATCAAAAGTAATATTTTGTAAATTCGATTAAGTTAAAATGAATAAAAACAAGCCGAAAATTCTTCTAGTATCTATCAAATAAAACCTTGTTGTTATTTCGGCGAATCGTGGACAAAAAGACAGTAAATAAATAAAACATAATAAAACAGGACGCGCAAGAAATTTAATAACCGGCGGACGGATAAAATGGCTCGGGAAAAAAGCAATATCGGTTATTTTCGTTAAATCCACGTCGATTCTTCCGCGAGGATGGCGGGGCAAAAAGAAGAGAACGACGAGCGCGCCACGGCTGACAGTTCGTTCGCAACAAGTGAATTCCGATATTTCTCTCCGCAAAAAACTTTTTGTCATCGGTTATCCATTTTTCAGTCTCCTTTTTCTCCGTATTTTTTCGTTTTCCTTTTGTTATTTCTCGGAGCCTGTTTTTGCTTTCGAAAATATACAAAACTCTAGCCAGTGGTGTCTCATTTGATGAATTTTTTTT